CAACCTGGAGGACCAGGAGACTGGACTTCGTCCGACCTCTACCCTTCGACCTTCCAGGCACAGTGAGATCACGTGGTTTGACAAAAGCCATGCTGTGTTGCTCGTCGAGTCAGAGAGGTGCACAAGCCATCACACCACATCAAGGTGCAGTCCCATCGTGATGGTCGAAGCGTTTAACAACACATAAGCACTGTTCAACAACGTTGCATCTTTCACTACGCGATTTCGATTTCGCAAAATGTCAAATACGAGATACAAGTTCTTTGACCAAATGTGATACCAATGTAACGAAAATCATTATTTTTTGGCCGCGTTAGGCCCCTGATAAGATATGTATTCGGAGAGAAGATATCGAAATATCAATTAGTATTCGCATTGACGCCACAAGTTGGAAAAGTGAAAGCGAATTTTCTGTACGCATAAGCAACGTCGGACCCGGTTAGTGCTTGCATAGGTGATCAGCTGGGAATGTCGGATGTTGTTGCCGTTCCCTTCACCACACTTAACTTAGCGGGGCCTTAAGTGGTTCACCACTCCAAGTCCCGGGGCTTAGGTTGCCGGTTTCCTTCACTGAACAGCAGGTCTTCATGACTATAGGGTTTACTCCGTCTGTTGGCAGCTAGACTGCCGTCGAGATAAGCCTATCCAGGTACAAAGGGCTTTACTGATTCGGCAACTTTCTCAAATAATATACTATTCAGAGTTGAATCGAATCAATTCAACACCGATTGTTATTCTTAATGTGGAAAAGTAATAAATTACCTACATAATTACGAGAGATAACGTCCGTGCATTCTGAACGGCAGCGGTGTAAATCACTTTCGTTGGTATGCACTAGTACGCAAAGTTTGGAGTTTGGGCATTATTACCGCCTCCTAAATCTATTGGTATATATCTTAACCGCGTCAATATCAAGCTTATTTCAATATGACTATGTGGCTTTTTATTCCGTCTGTTTCAACATCGGCACAATTTTATGAGGCTGGACTATTCACCCGTGACTGCTCATAACAATATGTTCATTAGAAAGAATCATACTTGTTTATTTTATTCGCTATTGAGTTATTACCGAAAACTAAATCACCCCGATTTACAATTAGATTTTAAATCGCAGTTTAAATCAACCCACTGAATCAATATGGTAGCAGAAGTGTGCGCTTATGTGCGGCTATTTGGTTGTGCCTGATAAAGAAACCAATGATGCTCTAGTTCAGTTCAGTTCAGTTTGAACAACCATCAACCATGCACTTTCGTGCGCCGGTTTTGGTTGCTGTCTTTTGGCTACCCATTGGGATGAAGAATAAGAGAAGAAAGGAAAGTTGAAAGTGGATTCGAAAGGAAAATGGAGAAGTTCAGTAGTCTAAGGTTGCAAAGAGATTGAGAAGATGCACGAACGCCACTGTTTACGACACCCAGCCATATCACACAGTGTCTCTAACCATCGGTTACGATCATCCCGAGGTCCCCAGCCAGGGAGCCTAACAGGACCTGTGACCCAGTTTCCTGGTTAGGGTTTTCATACCCACGTGCCAGGTCTTAACTTGACCACCCTTGGCTTTTTCCACTCTGTATCTTCTTCGGCGAACATCGCTCGCCGTGGTAACCTACCTAGTAATAATAAGCTGTCAAGATTCAAAAGCTTCTTATTCTTCCACAAAGAAATTAACCCCGTCTCTCTTGCTCTGTATGTTGAATTTCTTCGGTTCTTTGAAATTTCTTTTGTTACATTCCGGATTTATTGGGTCTCTGAAAAGTTCTAGCTTTTCCGAGCGTAAACAGAGCCTTGTTTTCACTCTGGAAAACGTTCTTAGGGTGGGCTATCAAAATATCTACTGGGAAACTTTTACTCACTGTTTTCTCTTGGAGTGGATGTTTTCACTAAAGAGGAAGGGTGAAAAGCCAATATCCGGAGTTATTGCATAGTTGAACCCAGGATAGCTGCGTCATCAAGGTTTGAAAAAGAATGATTTTGAACCTCCAAATGCTCCCATACGACCAAGTGTCTCGAACAGCCTCTGCTGAGGAAGCCCCACTCATTACCTTCTCGTGACGGCGGCGTTTTCCCACCAAAGTGAGAGGACGAATAGCCGACATCCGGTTTGCTAACCGGGTTGGTGGACCACTTGTAGTTCACCTAAGGGAGTTGGCCAAAAACCCTGATTTCAAACCAACCAAGAAGAGGCGTACGAACCACACCCACACCTTTTCAGTTGCGGCAGTGGTCACCAGCTCGATTGGGCATTGAGGTGTATTAGGCACCTTGGACGTTTGACCCAGTACAAAGGGCGAAATGATCCGATGAACTGGAAACCGGCTCCCAATGGATTGCTGGTCAGGCTTTAGTTAGCCAAAGGCTCCGGTTGTGAATTCCTCAAGAAAATTCACCAGCCTTGGCCTGGGAAACCTGGCAGTATTCAGCCCACAAGCCAATCATGGAACTTTTTTCTTTTTTATAAAGATTATTTTATCATGATTTGCTTGGCACACAATCTAGTCTCAGACAAGTGTGAAATATATAATACGAATTCTCCTGACCGCACTGTACACACTGCGTGCATGCCTCTTTGTTGGATAGAATTGTTCCCCCATCGAAAGCCTTTTTGGTTGACCATGAACGAATGTCAGATGCAATTCTTAATTTGTTGTAGTGCATTAATACGTTGCAATTATTGCAGTTTCATTTGTTTCGGATACCATTGCTGTCGAATCCGCGTTGTCATATCCCATCCATATCGACATAGAATACGGAATAGACTTTTCATTTTCGCCGTATCCATCTCTAGTTGAATGAAGCTTAAAACTGCTGTTGTGTGGATCAAGTTGATTTCTAGGGTTGCACAAATCCGCGGGACTATCCGCATCAATCCTGTCTGTTGTGCTCCTTTAGGAGAACCGATTGTGACCATTTCGACCAGTTCTTGCGTTCTCGGGAGATATGTGCATTCCAGCATTCATCTGTTTGTTTTAGATAAACTGACATACACTTTGAAATATAGGTCAAATGTTTGCATCTAGTTCACTGATACTGATACTGTAATCCTATCACGAGGGTAACTATTGTGAGTATACTGTCGCGTAATTCCTTGCTTGAAAGACACTTAGGAGATATATTGCAGATTCGCCTAACTGGGGACAGGATTGTTCAATTCTGACAGCTTTTATCGGCTTGATGGTTTATCTACGAGGCTTTTAGGGATTCTGTTCCCATGAATTGAGCAAACGATGAACAGTGTTTCGATTCCGTTCATATTGTAGCTTCATTCTTGCTATCGCGAACCTCCATCAGTCCCACTCCCTCCGAATCCTCACTAGCACAATAGCTGTTATACTCAAATTGACCATGAATAAATTATTCGACCACTTTGCGACGCCCAACCGTGAACAGGTCGGTTCCGGATCTTTAGTATATTTAAGCCAAAATCTGAAACGTACGATCACGTTTCGTTCAAATGCTACCAGGCTATTTTTCATTGTTTCTTCCTCTCTCTCTGTCTTCACTATAACGAAATAAATCACCAGCTACACCGATGTCGGTGCCAAAACACCCATTCTCATTTCCTGTGTGTATGTTTGCCCACTGTTCCCACCGAATTCCGGGCGTTCGCCCGCGTCCATCGTGTGGTAATCTATTTCTTTGTCCTTCTCATCACTCACTGTACACCCTCTGTTTTCCAGTACTATTCCATCCTACCTGCATTTATCTCTCTGTAAAATACTCTCTTGTTTCTCCATTTTCACATATTTTCACAAGCCAAGAAAGCGTTGCCAATGAATTCCAATATAGTCTCCGTGTATATCTTTCGGTTTATTTGCAGCAAGTTTTTCTCGTCATATTGTGCGACAATCGCTGTGTTCATTTTGATTGAAATGTGAGCACATACGCCTGTGAAGTATCTCTGTCCCCAAATTGCAAATTCGCTATCCGCCTGATGCTTGACAATGCATAACGCCCAATCCCAAGTATGGCAACATGCCTCTTTATCGAGGGTTCGTGACTTCAACTCGATCTCAGCGGGATCTACGTCACTATACAAAAATAATTGTGAACAACTAAGTCTTGTCCTTTTTTCATTTTTACTTCCTATTGATGATACGGGGATACAATTTTCAGAATGGGGAAGCATTCAATCAGACATAATGGGGCAAGGCAGGTGATGGTGANCATACTTCATCCAAAGAGATTATTTGGTGGTCTTTACCCTCTGGCTACCACCATCCATCCGGTAGTCAAATCGAGACTATTTTTGATTTGGCTCGAGCTATCTGACCATGCCATATTCATGAATACATCTTGATTCCGTTCCGTTGTCGTGAAGCTACTTCTGTCCCGATTTGTTTGATGCGTAATGGTAACCATGCCAGTTGTGTAACACAGTCTGTGCTAGATAATTTGAGGAGAGTAGTTGAGCAATTTTTGAGATCCAGAGGCGCATTAGTTGTTCTGTTTCTGCTATTCATAAATACAAATGTCATCGTTGTGCACAAAAGTATTTTGCTGGAGATTAGCTTACTGATTATATTGTTCACAGTCGTCTCTAAACGGTATGTTTTTGACGTATAATAAATACCGTGACACCCGGGTTACATATAGAGAACAGTTCTCATATTCCTCATTCTTCTTTGATTCATTTTTTTCAGTATTGATCGATTCGATTTGGAGAAGAGCTTTTTAACTTTTGAATCGCGGTTCGAATGTGGTAACTTGCGCAAAGCGATTCAGGTATGCTCATTTCCATCTTTCTATGGTTCTGATAAATCAGAGTTGGATTGATTGCTTCTTTTTGTTCCTTTTGTTTGAGCAACAAGTGTTTCAAGTGTATCAAAACAATACCATTTGTCCTCAGATATCAGTGTTTCGATGATTCTCTTCAAGTCACATGATATGCAGCTTTATACCCCTCTCCTCCCATAGGGTGAATTTTCAGCACTTTCGAAAGGTTACAGAAAACAAAAACGTGTAAGATAAACGCTTGCTAAATGAAAACCAGTAGATTTGATAAAAGCGAATGTGATCAATGGTTTTCCAGAACAACAATGATAATTGCTCGGTTCACAACGATACGAGCAAGATAAGCGATGATACGATTCCGGTCTGGTGGCACACGGACGAAGAATTCGGAATCCGGAACGCGTACTCGGATGAGACACCGATTTATTGAGATTAGCATACACGCGGTGTTGTTCATTCGACAGTATAGAACTGGTTAATATATCACACAAATCAAAGTGCACGCACACAATAAAATCAACCAAAACGATCTTGGAATTGCCACTGCAACGGGAAAGAAGTTTGAAAGACATGGAATAAAGAACAAAGTCTTTCTCCTTTAGACCAGGAAAATATACGGGGGAATAGTACAACCAATGTGAAAGAATGCATGCGGTCACAAATTTAAGAATTACATTTAAGGGAACGACGTGCATTCTATGTCTGAACTCATAAGGATAAGGTACGCACCGTGATGTGAATATTTTCAACATGTTTGGATTAAAAAAGGTTTTGTTTTAATTGTCAAAATAGTCTCACAGTGCACATTTCATCTCCATTTTAGTCGAAAATTTTCAATATGTTACAGCAGCGCACCTGTCAGAGCTGTCGGCCTTTTCTTTATCACGGGTGAGCCTTTTTAGACAAAAATGAAGCGTATCTGTCGATATTAGAATGCATAAATTCTCAACTGGGCAACACAGGTCATGGTAAAAATTAAGGTAACATGTAAAATTCTCACAACAGGAAGAGTTAGCAGCATTTGAAAAGACAAACAAAATTAGTAAAAGAAATGCTATCGTTAAGTCTAAATACATTTTTTAAGGGACAAATGTCTTCTGGTGGTGTACGTATTTGTCGTGCATTTTGGGATGTAAAAGAACAGGGCAATTGTCTGAGTTGCTTATAAGTGGCCCACCTTTCACTGAAAAAAATTATCCGGGTTGTTTGCAAACATGCCATCCCGTTGGACAACATGTCGGATAGGAAAATCGACAAGATTTGTCATGCGAAAGGTTGTTAGGAAAGAGCTGTCCTTGGTACATCTCCACTATCATCATATGCAGAAACCCAGCTACCCGAAGATTTTGATTAATGCCCCATACTCACAATGCCCGCAGAATATGTACGAACGCGTAATCTGATCAGATCATTGTGTCGAAGAAATGAAGACATGCACCAATCGGATTCCGTATGATGAGCACACTGAATACATAGCTAATCACGTGAACACAGCCTTCTGTTTCTGTTATTTTACCCGATAAGAATTGGTAACCTCATCACCGGGTTTACTGATCCATCTGTCAATCTCAGTATCCAGCTTCAGTTTTTTTTAGTGTACTGTACTTCCGTATTTGAATTATCCAGCGCACTGGTATGGTCAAAGGGCTTTGTTTGAACTTGTGGGAGTACCTCTGTAGACAACATCCGGGTTTACCTTAACTTGTTTGCATTCGGAAGCCCAGTCCAAGGAACCGAAAATAGTATTACAATCACTTTATACTAATAGCCGAAGCTGAGTCAGAGCCTACAGCAGTTTTTCATCCGAGATCACCACGGAAAATGGTGTTCGTCAGGGTCGTCCTCTCCCTCCGTTTCTATTTAACTTCGTGATAAATTAGATTCTTGAAACAGCCCTATCCTCGTGCGAGGATAACGAGATGGAGCATATGCTGCACCAGTTCAACCAGTGCTGCTCTACGGTATACAGAGACTTGGCCAGTACGGGAATAGGATAAAAATAGATTTTCGGTATTCGAACATCGCTGTCTACGTTGTATTGCACGAGTTTGGTGGAGCAACCGGACGAGCAATGTTTAAGTAAGACGCAAAATTTTAGGCAGTCGCGGTCGTCCACTGGAACAAGTGATCGACCTCCATTGTTTACATTGGCTGGGGCATGTGTTACGCATGTCACCAAATAGGTTGCTACTGCGAGCAAAGCTTCCCGAGACAGGTAGCGGTTGGGAAAGGGTCAAGGGTGGTCAAACGAAGACTTGGCATGAGGGTATGAAAACCCCAACCTGGTGACTAGGTCACTTAGGCCCCGTTAGAGTCCCTGGCTGGGGGCCTCGGGATGATCGTAACCGGTGGTTAGAAACACTGAGTGACATGGCTGGGTGTCGCAAATAGTGGCGCTCATGCATCAACTCATTATTCCCCTAACACCATTCTATATGAATTCCTTATCTTTCGCCTGAATTTACTCTCAACCTTCCAGTCTTCATTCTGCCCTTTTATCCAAATGGGCACACCAAAAGACAGCAACCAAAACCGGCGCACGAAAATGCATGGTTAATGGTTGTAAAAATTGAACTGAACATTTCTTCTTATGCCCACTGTCTCATCGATTCTAGTTAGCGGTGGGAGGAATGGGGTTCACCGAGCACGAACAAAAGATAATCTGATCTCATTGTTGTACCGTGGTTTGTTTAAATTCAGATAAGTGTGCAGAGAATACAATATGCATGAACAGTCGGGTGGTTCAGTGTGAGTCCTAATCTCATTATCGTCTTATAGGTTAATGGGTGGTTGAACAACGCTTATTGACTGCATACTACCCGTCTCAATTCGATGGTAAACTAACCCGTCCCACCTGTGTCTGTCTCAGTCTCTGGACAGTTGTCTTTAAATGATCGATTCTTGGAGTCGTCAGTGATTGAATAAACAGTAAAATTGCGTCATTCAGGCCATTTGCGCTTACGCATTGATTTTCTTTTATTAGACACTTTTTAGTGTAATAAACAGTAGATGGAGTAAATCCATAATCATCAGGACCTGCTGTTCATACTTGGAAAACGGTATCCTAAGCCCCGGGAATAGGTGTGGCGAACGATATAAGGACCGTCTAGGTTAGGCGGGGTATTGAACCGGGCGATACCAAAACTGTCTATTACCAAAGTTTGGTTACGATGGCACGGCTCGAACCTCGAACTATAGGGCCCAAAGCATGGCGGTGATTTCGACTAAATCACTGTGCCACCACCAACACTGTTTTTCAGCTTACTTCGGTTGACTGGTTGCAGGACTGCTGCGTTTAGCTGGATGGAATTCGCACGCCTAGTATTGCAGGAACTGTCTCATTCCAAAAGTCCTTTCGATATGGCGAGAAAATCTATCCTCATCCCTGCACCCTAACGGAGGTCATTTATTGCTATCATTGATTGATAAATTTTATCTCAATATTGATCTTTGTTGAACTGGAACTACGATGATGTTGTCCGCGGACACTGTGGTTTTATTCGAACACTACAGGTGCGTCAGTTCGAATATGATCTCATCTTGAGTCCGGATATCAACACGGTCTCCAACTTACAATGGTTCTATTTCCGCGTTGCCAATGTGGAATCCGGTGTAGATTACCGTTTCAACATCATAAACTGCGAGAAACCGGGGAGTCAGTACACCTCTGGTATGTTTGATTGTTTTTTTATAATTAAAAAAAATGAGCATGTTCGTTTTCCAATAGTTTCTTCGCCCTTGTTTATTTTTATTTTTATTTTTTTGGGGGGGAGGGGGGTAAGCACAGCTAAGTCTGGTTTGATTAAACGTGAATGTATTAATAAATGAAACGGCGTTCTAGTTTTTTTATTTCACACAGCTCTGTGTTCAACCTGTGTGCCAAACAATTCACGGTACAGTAATCTTTATGAAAAAAGAAAAACTTTCCATGATTTGCTTGTGGATGGAATACTACCATGTTGCCCAGGCCAAGAGAGGTGAATTTTCTTGGGAACTTCACAATTGGTGCCTTTGGCTGACCAATGCCTGACTTGCAAGACAGCGGGGCGTTGTGAAAACTGCAATCCTTTGGTGT